GGGGGGGTCCTGAGTATTCCTAAAGGAAGAACTCAGTAACTTTTTTTATTGTGAACCGTGCCTTTAAGAGAGTTCTCCAAAGTAGTGCTCATTGTGGTTGTGAAGTCCTGATGTTGCTTACTAATCTCTTTTTTTCCATATTATGACAAACCCCCAAGTGCAATACTACAAAGAGAGTTGAAGGCACCCACCACAATATTTTTATGATACCTTTTTCAAGGTTAATAATTAAAATGTTATTACAGGGTAATTCAGCAACGAAGAAAGCGCGAAAACCTGTAGAGATTTCGCGAAATGTAAGACTTTTTAAATCTTATTAACTAAGGTGTAAGACGGGAACGGTGTGGGACGCGCATTCGGACGAGATTTCCTTTGCGGGCATTCGCGTATAGGGTCGGCTATAGTAAGCCAAAAATGTCCAGAGTCGCCTTCCTTAGTCATCACGTGCCATGACTGATGTTCAACAAATGGGTGCAGCCTCGACAATGCCTTCAGAACACTGCCACTTCTGAGTGCAATATATGGGGACAATCTCTGAGCCCTCACTACGCCCACATAGGCCATTTTTCTCTCCGCCAACAGCTCGGTGCTATCTTCGAGGGCAAGAGGTTTGTCCCGGAAGGGAGTTTTGGAAACCACGTTTATCCTAGACTGTGTCACTAAAGATACATTTGAGGATAATATAATTCATCTTCACTGGGTGACGGAGAGGAAGTGCCAATGCAGAATGGTTTATTAGCGGTGAACAACAAGGGGACATCCACAGATTACATAAATGTAAGCTTGTGAACTAATCATTGCCAAGGTCGGACGAGGTGGTGACGACGAGATGTGTGCTTGGACGAGATTTCAGCGGGAACAGAGCCCTGAATCCACAGCGAACGCCCTTCATTTTCATCGGTATCGGCCTGTACAAAGCCTTCAAAGACGTCCTTTCGTTGAAGTATTGGCTGATAGGCGTCGGAAGCCATTTTCAAGCTTCTATAGCTCATAACCTAAGCCAATGCCTTTTTCCAATGAGACCTGTGAAAGTGAATAGGAGGATTGGGTAATGAAAAGCTTTTCGGGAAGTGCATCTTTGCCGCTTTCCATTAATGGCTAGCTCTCTACCTGTTTGACTTTATCATGCACTGATAACCATGGTAACATACCTTTCAGGGTTTTCTGGTTGACCGACAAATTTGATGCATTCTCGTTTTTCGAATGCGTGCTCGATCCACGGACCAGTNAAAAAAAGACCTTCGAGTTATTTGCCTCAGTTATTTGGCCAGCATGATTGGACTGAACAGAACGATTACTGTGGCATTAAGTTAAGCGCATGACCGTTTGATTGGCCAATAACAGTGAAATAAATAAAAAAAAACATGGGCAGGGGAAATATAAGCTTATGTCATGGGGTCAATTTCTGCGCTGAATAGCCACTTATTGGAGGGCCATAAAACGATCATAGCATTAATAAAGGTAGACATTTTATCCAACCACATCTTATGCTCATTCTCTAATGGCATTTGGCAATCGCCTAACCCTTTAACCGTATGAAAGAAACTAAAACAAAAGGAACGAATCAGTAGAGAAAACCTAAAAAACGTGGAACATGTGGGTCAGGATGCGCCACTGTGGTCACTTGAACTCGCCACAGCAGCGGTGAGCTTGGTGGTCGTCTTGGAGCTCTCTTTTCTCGAAAGTAAAGATGAAATATTTCGAGAAAACTTTCGAAAACCGCCTTTGCGGTGACCTTATCTCGAAAGGTGACCGCGATAGCGCATCCTGACCCATTCCCAGACTTGATGACATCGTCGATAAAATGGCTAGACACTTGAGCTTCGGTTATGCGTGGGGAAGCGCTTGTAGAGCAAACAAAACAATCTTACCAGAGCTCTAGCGAAGAGATTTGGATTTTCAAAAAGTCGTGTGGTGTTTTTTCTGGATGCTTCACCGGATCGCATTGAGGCCAAGCTGTTGATTGTACCTCCACCACACACCGAATTTCTTGGAACACTGAGTTTGTCTCCGATGAGCGAAAGGGTCCTGACATGAAAACATACAGTAGCTAGGAAAGAAAATACGAAAATATGAGTTGTGTGCATGTAAGAATGTTCAATTCCTCTGTATAGAAAAAGATGCTTGTTAGAATGTAATCAGTGGGTGGAGACACGTCTAAATTGGACGAGTTCACCTCCAAACCCTTGTCCCTCTCGACAGATCCATCAGTAGATGATAAAGACCTTCGGTTTTTCACTGACTTGTTCGAAGTTCTTTAAGAATATCCTAATTTTCCACTGAACAAAGACATTATTTTTTCGCTTGTCCTAAAGTGGGCGCGGGTCAATGTATGTAGTCCGTTTTCGGTCACAATAAGTGAAAAAATCAGATGTTGTCAGAGTCCTTCGACTTTAGTTTATACTCTGAAAAACTCTCTAAAACTGCAAGTTTCACTAGCAATGTATGTCACGGCGATGTTTCATGGATGACCCCTCATCGTGAGAGTTATATCATTGAAAACGATAAACGTTCACAGCAGATCTCCCACAGAAGTAAAGTGGAGAAATTGTGGAGTACCGAATGGATATTAGGGGAATCTCCCAAAAATTGCTGAGGTTCTGGCGAAAACCTAACAAAATGGGGGTGTCGAAGGGAGGGATTCGAGAAATCGAAATCAGTGGTTGTCATGTAAACAAAGTAGAACTAAATAGCTGAGGAACTAGTGATAAACAAAAAAAGGAGCGGAGAATTCCAATTAAAAACTTCCTGGTGCAAAGATGGATTCGCTAGAACAAATCTCAGCAAAGGAATCATTAAATTTACGCTTGGTTAGTTACTATGAAGAGAAGCTTAACTAGTAGAAGCAGATTAGTTATTGAAATGGCATTGAATACGAAAACAGTATGTTTGCTCAATTCAGGCATGAAATTGCATTCAAGACGTTCGCTTATTTGTTTCCGTTTCGCAATCCACTGCTCCCCCATACCCTCGCTAATGAGGTAGTCCCATTCACTACTGAGAATTTCAATTGTACCCTTTTAATCAGCGGTACCGATCTTTTACATCGGAAAAACTTCCCAGTTGAAGGATTACAGTGGCCCGAAGCTCTCACATCAACCCACAAGCACCGCCCATTTCGGAAGCTCAGCATCTCGATCAATGATAGCCAAGGAAGGATTCACCATGGAGTAGAATGATGTAAAAGTAAAATGAAGTAAATCCAAACTGGCAAGAACTCAAGTCTACAAATGTTCTGTAATGAGTGGTATCGAGAAAGGGGTGCAGGGTAGATTCTACTGTACCCGCTTGACCTAAAGACCGCTCTTTGATTTTACTGCCAAAACACTCTACTAAATGAAATGTCACAGTGGCTCGAAGCTCTCACACCAACTCACAAGCACCGCCCATCTCAGAAGCTCCGCCTTTCGATCGATGACAGCAAAGGAAAAAATTATAGAGAAGTAATGTGACATCCAAAATGGCAAGAACGTCTGTCTACAAAGATTCTGTAATGAAGGGTGTCATGAAAGGGTAATAAGGCAGATCCGTTTCTGACTTACAATGAAAGCCATCCGTAAAGTGAAATCTACTCATATAATAATAAAAATGCGGACTCGTACTGAAATTGGAAATCCAAAAAATTGGGGTCTTCGTTCGTCGATGTCAGCGACAAGACTCCTTGCAGGGTTGCTGGATAATGAGCAAAACACCCAGGCTCGGATAGGACTCGAACCTATGTCTGTGCTT